AGTGAGACCCTGTCTCAAAAAAAAAAAAAAAAAAGAGAGAGAGAGAGAGAGAAAATACTTTCCCCCTAAAATGTTAGAAATTTGATTTCATTATTTTGGGAGAATTTCAAGAATATTCAAATTACAAAAGCATATAATCTGATTGGAATAGAGATCCTCTAAAAACTATAAACTAATTTATTAGTACTATGTGGAAGTAAAAAGACACTGCTGTCTACATTTAACATTTTCCTGAGGTACAGACACAGTGATACAGACGCTGATAGAGACAGTTTATAGCTTCAGGAATCAAAGGAAAAAGCGAAACTCGCCTGTCCCCATCCTTCCCTGTGGGCACTAAGTCTTAACTGCCTTGAAGTAGAGATAGAAAAATATCAGCAGATGTTGTGTATCTCACCCAGCAGAGTAGACATACAAACATTAAACCATCCGAGAGATGAATCAGGCAATAAACCAGAACCCCATTCACTGCTGCCGCCGGTGACTGCTGGCCATGAACAGGACAAAATGAAAACCAGGCACAAAACTAGTAGGGAAGAAAACTAAGACAAGGAAAATAGAGCATCTGTAAGAAAACAAACAGGTCCCTGTGCCACTCAGGAGCCAAGAAAAGAAACCTCTGGGGTGCCTCTCTTAAGACACCATTTACCTTCCTTAGGCAAGTCTGTGAGGCATCCTGCTAGAAGACTTCCAAATCTGCCAAAAGATCATTTTTAGCCTGACGTGGTGGTGCACACCTGTAATCCCAGCACTCGGAAGGCTATGGCAGGAGGATCACTATGAGCTCAAGGCTAGCCTGGGCTACACATCAAGACCTATCTCAAAAAACAAAAGTAAAAAAAGTTCATTTTCAGAGAAAGATAAGCTAATGACACTCACGTGTATGTAAAATATTGAAGATTTTATTTAATTCACTAACAAGAAACTGGTGAGCTTCAAAAACATAGATCAGAAACGTTGTGCTATATTGCAGAGGGAGGCACAGGGACCTTTCTCCACAGTGGGCAGAAATCAGTCAAACCTCACCTGATAGGTGTGTGAAAGTTATACAATAGCCTTTTTGTCAATTTGCAACAGTTTCACAGTTGGAAAAGGCTCCTAGAGAATGATAGTCAGGCAGTGTGGAAGAGTGCACTGTGGTGTGTGATTTCGGAGGCTGCCATTGCTGTTAGAGCAGCTGTACTGATGTCAGGGGCACCACAGGAGCGTTTGGAAACCAGGAACTTAACGCTGACACTGTGACGGGCAGCTTAGACCAGCTCTGGGGAAGACGGGCGCCACTTTTCTCTCTGCCTTCCAAAGTTACCACACAGCGGGGCACACAGGGACAGAGCACTGGGTTAGAAGCAGACTGGATTCAAGTACGAGACCCCCTCAGTTACTATCTGTGAGAGGCTAGCCATGGTGTTCAGTTTCTCTAAACTTCTGTTTTCTGAAACTGGAAGAATAAAGTTTACCTTACAGAGTGAATCTGCAGATTAAATGGAATAATGTGTATAAAGTACTTAATGCAGTTCTTGGTAAATGTTACAAGTATTTTACAAATAATAGCTGGTAAATTTTAGTTTAGTGGTAAACTATTTATTTTGGAGGTATACTAGTATTTAGGGAATAAAATCACTGTGATATTCTTCAAATACCTATGGTCATTTGCTCTCTCTCTCTGTCTCTCGCTCTCTCTGGTTTTTTTTAGATAGGGTCTCACCATGTAGTTCAGATTGGCCTTGAACTCATGGCAATCGTCCTGTCTCAGAGTGCTGGGGCAACAGGCATCGGCCACCACACCCAAATTCCTTTCTAAATAGACATATGATGTCCAATAATTACAAGGATCCTTCACATTTGATAAGTAAACTGGACACTTTACTATTATTACTAAAACATTATTTTATTCTATGTTCAAGTGAACATTTTCTCATGTACAGATTATAACAGGTGAACATACAAATCTGAGCACAACCTCATGGCAGTAGCATCCATCCCACAGTCTTCATTCACACGAAACCAGCGAGATGCCCACTGATATGAACTCCACTGTAAGTCAGGCTGATTGTAAATTGACTTAATTGATGTCATCTACTCCATTGGAAGCCATTTAGTACATTTATACTGGGCCTGTGTCCCCTCACAGATGATTAATTATGCACTTCTCATTTGGGGGAAAACTGACTCATAAGAGACTGCACAAAAACAGCTAAGCTCTAGGAAGAAATGCTATCAACACAAGAAGTATCTCCTGACCCAGTTCAAATGCTGGCTCTTCTCTGTGGCTGACGACCTCATAGTCTACAGAGACATGTGTTTGAGGCCGTGAGTGCAGTGCTCAAACGCGGCCCCAGGTGGGAACTCCTACCGCACTAGCAGTTGGCTGGATAGCTTCAGATGAGTAGTAACTAAGCTCTCAGATCCTCAGTCTCATCCCTGTAAAATGAAGACAATAAACTTAACATTTAGGTTTACTATGAGAATAACATTAAAAGAGATAGAAGTCTTAAAACACTTGAAACAGGGCCCAGTACCAAGAAGCAGGTAAGTCTGGGCTTCCTTTATTGCCCACGGGTGAGTTTCGGTAACAGGCTCTGCGGTTGCCCTGAATGCCCCACATCTTTACTTTGCTGTGGTCAGATGAAACCTTGTCTGTTTTTAAGGAAGCCTCCTCAGATCCCATCAGAGTGCTCAGCTGGCTGCGCAGAGACCTGGAGAAGAGCACAGCAGAGTTCCAAGATGCCAGGTTCCAACCTGGAGAAACATCGATCGGGGAGGAAATTGCCAACCCCGGAGACCCACGCAAAGGTTTCTCTGTGGACTATTACAACACCACCACCCAGGGCAGTCCAGGAAGACTGCATTTTGAGATGACTCACAAAGAGAATCCTTCCCAGGCTGGTAACGGGAGTTTAGTAGACGAAGTCTCCTTCTACGCAAACCGCCTCACAAATCTAGTCATAGCCATGGCCCGAAAAGAGATTAATGAGAAGATTGATGGCTCTGTAAGGAAGTGTGTCCACCAGTCGATGTATCTGGGAGATGAACCCATGCCGGAGAAAAGCCTGAGCACTGTAGCATCCGAGCTGGTGAAAGCGACAGTCTCTGCGTGTGTTAAGAACTCTGACCCCGAAAAGGCTCCCAGCTCTGGAGACAGGGCCTCAGGATCGCAGAGTCCCCCACATCTGAGATACAAGAGCACTTTAAAGATCAAGGAGAGCACCAAGGAAAGTGAGTGTCCAGGTGACAAGCCTGCTTCTAAGAAATCTTTCTTCTATAAGGAAGTGTTTGAATCTCGAAATGCAGGAGATGCTAAGGAGGGTGGGAGGTCCTTACCTGGGGAAAGAAAGCTGTTCCAGGGGAAGGAAAGGCCCAATGACTTCACACCTTCTCTTAGTCAAGGGATCATGACCTACACCAATAGTGTGGTGTCCGATATGATGGTCTCCATCATGAAGACCCTGAAGATCCAAGTGAAGGACACAACCATCGCCACCATCCTGCTGAAGAGAGTCCTGATCAAGCATGCAAAAGAGGTTGTCTCGGATCTCATCGACTCCTTCATGACAAACCTCCACAATGTCACGGGAACCCTCATGACGGACACAGACTTTGTCTCAGCTGTGAAAAGAAGTCTCTTCTCTCACGGAAGCCAAAAGGCCACAGATATCATGGATGCCATGCTGGGGAAACTCTACAATGTGGTGTTTGCCAAGAAAATCCCCGAGACTCTCCGGAGAGCCAAGGACAAGTCCGAGAGTTATTCCCTCGTCTCCATGAAAGGGATGGGCGACCCTAAGTACCGCAACATGAACTTTTCAATGAAATCTGAAGCTAAATGGAGAGAAAAGATGCATTCCGCATGCAAACCACAGAAGGAGAAGACATGCATCGAAACTCTGGGTGAACACATCATCAAAGAGGGGCTGACCATGTGGCACAAAAGCCAGCATAAAGACTGTACATCTCCATGTCCCGAGCATGCAACCTCTGCAGGGCCCCACGAGCAGCACAGCCCTACATCAGACACCCCCTTTGAGGACCAGGACCCTTGCAACCTCTGCCTCCATCCAGAAGACCTCAAGAACTCCATGTGTGATTCAGACTCCTGGGCCAAGGACCTGATCATTTCTGCCCTCCTCCTCATTCAGCACCACCTGGCCCAGGGAGGAAGGATGGATGCACAGAGCTTCCTTGAAGCTGCTAACACCACCAACTTCCCCCACAACAGGCCCTGCGCAGCTCCCACTGAGCCCAGCCGTAAGTATCCACATAAGGGTTGTGACCAGGAACAAGCAGGCAAGAAGGATCTCATGAGTGTTTTCTTCAACTTTATCCGGAACTTACTTAGTGAGACCATTTTCAAGAGTGACTGTACCTCTGAACACAAGGTGCGGATTAAGGAAGAAGGTGGCAACCAGTATGAAAGACCTGCGACCCCTTGTTCTCCCAAGCCGTGTGAGGACAGTGAGGCTGGTGGTCCCTTCTCTGAACTGACCAAGATGGTCGCCAGCCAGGTAGATGGCCACATGAGTGGGCAGATGGTGGAACAGCTCATGGACTCTGTGATAAAGCTGTGTGTCATCATTGCCAAGTCCTGCGACTCTTCCTTGGTAGAACTGGGAGACGACAAGTGTGGGGACCCCAGCAGGCCAGGCTCAGCCCTCCCAGACAGCTTGTACGAGTGCTTACCAGTCAAGGGCACGGGGACAGCAGAAGCTCTCCTGCAGAACGCCTACCAGAACATCCACAATGAGCTGAGAGATCTGTCAGGACAGCTGCCTGAAGGGTGCACAGCCCCCAAGGTGATAGTCAGCAACCACAACCTAACGGACACCGTCCAGAACAAGCAGCTGCAAGCCGTCCTGCAGTGGGTGGCAGCCTCTGAACTCAACGTCCCGATTTTGTATTTTGCTGGTGACGATGAGGGGATCCAGGAGAAGGTAAGGACAAAAGTCAGAGGGCTTTAGCGAGGGTTGATTTGGGATTTGCATACTGCTTGCTTTCTCAATGAGAGTATAACCCTAGGAAGGGTTAAATGGAACAGTGAGAACTTGCTCCTGGGAGAGATAATGAATAAAGTAACATTAGATCTTGCCTGATCCAAGACATCAAAAGGAAAAAGAAAGGGTAAATGATACCTTTTGTTTTCTTCATTTATTGGTGGTGGTGCACAAACAAGGAGCTTCCAGGAGACTTGGTGAAGGAATTGGATTAAGGTCTGGGCTACAGGCTGATTCTGGGTAGACCAGAAGTGCCCCAAATGAGGAGGCACTTGGGGGAAGTATCATGAGGGTAGGTTGAAAAGGGAGAACAGTGGGTTTCAGACCTGCCGCTAATCTCTGAGGTTGTTGTCCACATGGGGTTGGGGTTTGGAGGAATTCAATAAATAACATCTCTCTTGCCCATACCCTAAGCATGAATCAGTTGAGAAGTCAGACCAGAGGATAGGCGGTTGACCTGTCACTGCCATTAACGATAAAGGTAAGTGTGTCTGCCAAGCTCTTGAGCTTCCACCAGTGTCTCCCACTGAGTCTCAGGATCACATGCTCAAGGGACAGCAGATCCGGACAGTGTGCACAAGTGCTTGAGTCCCACTGCAGAGTAGAACAGAGGCACTGAGAGAGTGAGACCGCATCTACATTCCCCCAACTTTGGGTTTCCTATTGATTGCGAGAAATGGAATAATGGCTTTTGTCAGTGAATTTTTTAGAAAAATTCATCTTTGGAGCTGGAGGTGTAGCTCAGTAGAGCATTTGCTTGCATGTATGAGTCCCTGGTTTGATCCCTAGCGAAAGAAAGAGAGGCGGGGGGAGGAAGAAAGAAAGAAAAAGAAGGAAAAAAGAAAAGAAAGGAAGAAGGAAAGAGAGAAAGGATAGAAAGAAAAAGGAGGGGAGGAAGAGGAGAGATGGAAGGGGAAGGAGGGAACTCATCCCCAGAGAAATCAGAAACGTGGACGTGGAAGCTTTCTCTGTGTAATAAGTGCCATAAGTGACCTTTGTCCCTGTGTTACTGGGCTGATGTGGTGACTGAAGAGACACAGTTCAATCATGCAGAACCCTGACCAGGCTGCACGGAGCTGACACAAGATGCTGTGTGACCTTGGCTTCAGCCTTGGCAGGGCTGCAGGTCTACTCAGAGTGGTCTGGGGTGCTGTCATTGGAACTTGCATCCAAATCTTTATTTAGCAGAGCACTTAGTTGTTGTGTGGGTATTCAAGTTTGGGCTGGAGCAGGGTACCCAGTTCTGCTGGGAATTGGGCATGCTTAGCAAGAGGTGAGGGGCAGACAATTCTGCAAAGCTTCATCTCTACTTTCATCCTCTCCATGGCTCAAGTCACTGCCTAAGCTCCACCTCCTGGGAGACTGGCAGGGACACCGGTCTTGTGGGAGCAGCACCTAGTCTATGCGGGATCTAGAGTGCACAGTCCTTTAAACCTTCCCAACCCCACCCCCAAGTCTGTTGAAATACTGACTTCCTCAAAGGCAGTCCCTTGGGTCAAAAGGTTGGGGTCCACCAGGCTAGAGGACAGCGAGCTCCAAGATGAGATGTCCCCACTGCTCCTCGCCCAGGTGTGTCTCCTCACCAGGTTTTCAGTCTGTGAAACAGACAACCATGTTGGTCCTTGGCAAGCAGCAGTTCGGGATGGAGGCTGTGGTCCAGCCAAAACTTCAGACTGAGAAGCAGAGCAGCACCTTTGTGTGTATAGCATGTGAAGAGGGCGTTGATCCTACACCCATGTCTTAAATCGTGCACTATGCTTTCCATTTTAGGTTACTGTGATTAGCTTGGGCAATATATTTATCTAAAATGAGACTGACAGACTTGCATCCACATTTCTGCCCATTCTACAGATGAGATTGTTTTACTAAAGGGAAAGAGTGAAAAGGCAGGGCAGCCATACAGACTTTGACTTATGAAGAAATCTGCATTGAGCAATAGTTTTAAGAGCAATCAGATGACAGAAACTCCAAAAAACCACCTCACATAGACTTCCGGGTGAAAGACCAATGTAAGCAGACATTCTCGGGCTGATGCAGGTGGCGGAACCTGGTGACCCTGAGGCACACGGCCACTTCCTCTGCATGGCCTTTTTCTTTTTGGGTAGGCAGTGCTTGTGCGTAGTCCAATACCCAGAAATAAAGTGTGCACTGTGAGAAGGGCATTTCCTCCTTTGGATCCCCAGCCCATTGCCCTCTTGAGAGAAAAAACCTGTTCTGATCTCTCTCACCTTTGTTTTGGGCATTTAGTCTGTTCAGTAAGTTTTTATCTTAGGTTTTTAATGTATGTTTTTAGTTCTGCATTTCCAGTTTTAATTCTGAGGGGTTATGGAGACTTTATCCATTTACCCCAGGAATGTCCTCATGTCGTTCAGCTCATGATATCTGGTCCACTTGTTTGACCATTGACTCTTATAAAGAGTAGAACACACAAAATAAAAACTTGGTTCTGTGAGTTAGTTCATTGCCTTTAGGAGTTCGGATGAATGACACTGTGTGTGTTCTGTGTTCACATTACACAATCGTTTTGACTTTTTCGGGCTAAGCTTAAGATCAGAGCCCTGGTCTGCATTCTGGTTCTGAGAATCACCAGAGGTTCGTGTTGACCAGCCCGTCAGCTCCGGCCAGTACCTCCCAAGATCAGATTGCTGTGGGAGGCACCCCCTGCCTGATAGTCCAGGCCTTCGGGTCTACACAACGTGGTGGGCAGCGCCCCAATTTCCTTGGTGGTCTCAGGACAAAAGTGGAGAGCATTCATGATACTGGTGTGAGTTTAGAGCCTCAGAATTCTCAGAAAGCAACAACACTGTTGACACCCAGGGACACAGCGCCTTAGGGAGGAAGGGTTGGCAGATTTGGATCTTAATGATAAATCACATTTTGCATATCGTGGGCAGGCGATTACTAACCCATCTTTTGTGAATTAAGGGTGATGTCAGCAGCCTCCAACGGAAGTCTTCTCTCCCTCTGATTCCAGTCCCTCTGCCTCTCTTCCCATCTTTGCTGGGATCGGTGCCCTCCGCGACTGCTTTCTCTGCTCTCCACAGCTGCTCCAGCTCTCGGCGGCTGCCGTGGAAAAGGGCCGCAGCGTCGGGGAGGTTCTGCAGTCCGTGCTGCGCTACGAGAAGGAGCGACAGCTGGATGAGGCTGTGGGGAACGTCACGCGGCTGCAGCTGCTGGACTGGCTGATGGCGAACCTGTGACGAGCCCACCGCGTCCTCTCCCGTGGGCCCCTCCCAGTCCGCACAGGCCTCCCGCGGCCCTCGCACCGTCATCAGCGAGCGCTGACTGCAGATTTTCCTGTCCATGCGAGCAAGGATGTAAAATTAAAAATTACAATTAAAGGGCTCCACATGTTTGATTTCTTGGGATCCAGTGGGATATTAAGGTAAAATACCCAAAGAACAAAAAGACGTCACAGGAAAGGCGGAGAGGCGCCACAAACTGCCCTCAAAATGGAATTTTGAGGAATTTATTCCTGCCTCTTAGGACCACAGAAATCAGAATGCAGCTTTTCATATCCACTGAGAATGTGGCCGCTTGCCCTTCCCTGCAGAGCTGCGGAGCACGTCCCCACTTGTGACGGTGCAGAAACGTCCCCAGGGTGGAATGTGGCCAGGTGATACAGCCCTTGCCTGACATGCACCACCTTGGGCTCCGCCCCCAACACCACAGAACAGCAACAAAAGTTCCCAAGACCTGAGTTCCCTTGCGGGTTTTGTAACTTCCTGGCAGCTGGACCCAGGGGCATGTTACCCGACTGAAAGCCCATATCATCCCACTTTTACAACATTTGCAGTTCTTAGCTACTCTGTGTAATTTTCTATTCTTCATCCTTTTTACCTTCTATAAAGTTCTTCCTCTGACTAATTTTTCTCCTATTGTTCTGTATCTCGGAGCAGGGAGTCGGGTCTGCTCTGTCAACTCCTTACATTATTTACCTTTCCTGGGACTTTGTTTTGCTCCCAGTCTCATTCTTTCACCTTCCCTGGGTCACCTCGTCCAAATCTATGGCTTCAATTACCTGATGTCACCTTTTGTGGAATATTATACAGCACCTAAAATGGAAACTGAAACCAGGTATTAAAAAGAAGCAAGGCTAATGGATGACCTTGATGATCTTGCTCTGACTTTGAATTCCTAGATTCTGCTGTACCTGAAACCACGTCCATTTCTCCAGATTCCCCAGTAATATAAAGCAATAAATATTTCTTATTGTTTAAGTTGAAGTCAGCTTCTATCATTTTCAAACAAGAATCCTGGTTGGCAGGTGTGGGCAAAAAAATAAAAATAAAGTTCTATTGATGCCATAACACTGAGTACCTAAAATTAACCCCAGCATACACTCACACCTCCACCCCGTTCCCTACCAGAGGAAACATGCCAATTGTCCATGTGAAAAGTTTTAATCTTTGGAAACATTTATACATACAAAATGTGAAGTATTGTACAGTATAAGAGCTGTCTCTGATACAAATCATCAGTGGGAAGGAGCGGCACACACCTTCAGCAAGGCTCACACAATGGGTGGCAGAGCGCTTGTGTCTTGGGAAGAATAGTCTTTGCGTTGTTGTTCCCTGGTGGTCCCAGATGCCTCCTGTCCAGCAGCAACCTCTGGCTTCCTGTGAGCCTCTGCTATGGGAGGCAGCCGGATGGTGTCCGAGACACACGGCGGGAGAGACACCTGCTGGGCACTGGGACCTGGAGAGGGCACAATGGCACTGTATTTCATTTTGTCTGTAGTCTCTTTGGCGATCTCACCTGCAATGGAGAAAGAAGCAGAAGGAATAAGCGCTCCATACAAATTAGTGTGTGTTCTAACTTTCCACTAAGCCATAAGCCACGTTGGGGAACTGTGGTTGCAGTGATATACAAATGTATCTCATTTATACAAGCACACTCTATGTACCAGGCATTATTCTAAGAATTTGACGTTTACTAATTCACTGGATCCTTCTCGGAACCTTACAGGACAAGCATTCTTATTTTTACAAGTAAATTGCCCAGAGGCCCACACCTGGCATGGTCTGGCCAGAGTTTACTTCTAGGTGGCAATGCCAGCGGCCTGTATCATGGTGTATGGCATATTAAAGATCTGTGTGATGCTACAGTCTTTCACTGGTAATGATTATACAGGAGATTCTAGGGCACAAAGGAGTGGGCTCAGTGAATGAACAGGGAGGGCGGTGAAAGGGAATTGAGTACAGGAGAAAAGTGGAAAATCCTAATGATGGGGCAGAAAATGAGTCCAGAGAAAGCCAACTTTCCTAAAGGAGGAAAATCCCCAGAGTGAGGAATGGCGGGGGCCCATCGTGGTGCAGCCAGAAACGAGTTCTCCAAGGCTGAGTGCAGAGAAACTGACAAAATCCTCCAGAAGTGCCTGGCTCCTGGACCAGGGAACAGGACTGGCTGGCCGAGGAATGTACCTTTTGTACTTTGGATGGAATGATGGTGTCCTGGAATCTTGTTTTTGCTTGGCTCGGAGGGAAAACTGAAACTAGGTTTCCTCAAGTTCTGGGGCATGGGCCTTGGCTTGCGGTTCTGTGCTTCATGAATCCAGGCATGCTTGAGGGCCTGGTCCGGGGTCATGCGGAGCGAAGGCTCCCACCTGCACACCAACAGAGCCCAGGATGGGTCATTTCTGCTTCCCCTTTTAATATTATAATGCTTGTTTAATCCAATAAAGATATTTTGCATTTAAGCCATGTCATATTCATTGAGGATAGACTACAACATAAAATGTTAAAGTAACTGAAACAAGTATTGGAAGTAATCTTTTTTGAAAATTTGTGTAACAAGCCAGGAATATACTCAAGTCCAAATTTTGTTGGAATCCCTAGAAAGAACATAATTTAAACGAAGAACATTATTTAAAAAACAAAAACAAAGAACAGGGGGATTTAGGCGTCGGTAAGAAAATACAAATAAATTCCCAAACTATGGGATTTGGGCTACCAAATATATCACAAAAAATTATAGAATTTGAGTATACTGTATTAATTTGTGTAAGGGAATTGGAAATAATTCAGGCAAACTTGTAACACAGCAACAAAATACATCTGATAGAGCTCACAATGTAGAATCACCTGCCATCATCAAGTACTGCTGTGACAGGGCCGACACATCCAACTATTCCCAGCTCCAAAACCCTGATTTTTAACAGTTCTTCATCATTTTCATTTTCACTGAGCCAATACTGACTTGCAGAATATTTTACCAGGTCTTTATCCTACTCATTAGTGAAATAAATGAAACTCATATGTGAAATAAAATCAATAATCCTCCTTTTATGTCAGCCTCTTAACTACCTGAAAACATCGATATCACTAACTGTTGATCATGTGATATGGCTCCTACCCTCTGGCCATCTTCTAGGACAGGAAATTCAATCTGGGGCCCATCACGCTGGGAACAGCGCCCAGCTGTGGGGAGGGGGGTTGAGCATGCTAGACTCATCGAGGCTACAAACAACTCAAGATTCCTGTTCTTTTTCAAATGCACTGCTGTTAGGTCTTCCTGCTGGACTTCTGGAGTTAAGTCTACACAAGATTACACATTTACCCCATTAGGTCACTCTCTTGGCTCGTATAAATGATTTGCCACTTGCAAGGTACAGATTAAGTAACAGACCCCCTCAGCCTCTTACAAGTTTTAAGCCATCAGTCCTTGGTACTAGGAGAGACCGTGCCTGCCTTGGGGTTGAGCTATGTCCTGGGTGGTTGGGTTTCCAGACATCCCATCTGGGTGGCCAGTTTCCATCATGGGAAAAACACATTCATTCTGTAGCCTTGGCACAAGGCTGAGTTTAAAAACAGATCTTTCCCTACCTCGATTATTCAGAAAAGAAGCAGAATGGCCTCCTGTGGGAACGCTTTCTGCAATATCTGATGCTTTGCCCTCTGAGTTAGTGCCCGAATTTCAGAACACATGAATGACAAAGGAGTATTTTGCTGACTTACTCTGTCTCACTGGAAGAATGAAAGAACACAAAGATGTGGTCTTCTAAAAATGCTGAACACTTACAGGATCCTACAGGCACCCTACAAACAGCCCATTTTACAGAAGAGGAACTGAGGCCCAGAGAGAAATGGTGGTATTTTAAATACCACACAGCTAACTTGCTTGTACTCAGTGGAGACAGACTTGCAAAACCTCTTTAACAATAAAATAGTGAAACAATTGTCAACACTTTCCAAACACCTAAACCGGACATTGCCGGGGCTTTGTGCACTGATTTCTTTCCAGTATAACTTGACTAAAGTACAGTATCGAATTTCTGGTACACCAGATTCAAAATTGCATGTAGACTCCAAAATGCTGCGCATAATAAATGGTTTAAAGTTTATAGTTCTGTAGTTCCCTAATGCAAGATGATTTGAACACAAAATCCTGGGGGATAGGAAGGAGCTCTGAGTCAGTGTGCATCAGATGTGCATACCCATAGGCCCTCTGAAGGCAGTCACTTCCATTTACAAAGCAAAGACACTAGGACTTGCCTGCACCCTTGCTGCCAGGCAGCTGGAGGCCAAGAAAGCAACACACTCTGCCCACACACTGTGTCACCCAAGACAAACCAACCACTCAGAGTCCAGCAGGTCACCTACCCTCCAAAGCTCTCCCTTCAGCATTACAGACAGCCCTTGTGTAATGGCCAAGCTCTGCCCCAGACTAGGCTGACAAATGCCTCGGTTGCTAAATGAGGAATTGGAAGAAGTATGACAGAACAAAGGAAACTCCAGCTGGCTGACGTCGCTTTTGTTTGCATAACTCTTACATGTAGCACTGTAATGTACGACAGACCTAAAACTACTGTATCATACAGTATAATCAGGAAAAATGACAGTGCTGTACAAATAAGGTAAATTCTGCAAATAAAAGACAGCAAAGCTCTATGAACAAGCTGTACAGAACTGTACAAAAGAAAAAGACAGGTTGTAAGTCCAAACAGGCATTAAATGAGGAATATCTGTATTGTTATTTTTATAATCCTTTCCCAGTCTTACAATTACACTAGCAAATGTGCATGAAAATCTACTACTTAACCGGAAACCCAGAGGCAATAATACCCAGCAAACTCACACCAAACACCTTCTGAGGAAGTCCAGGAAGCTGGAGTCACACGTTTTCAGCACCATTGTGAGATCCTTGGAATCCGGGTATCTTTTTTTCCCCCTGTTGTCGGTTATATTTTTAGGAAAACCTTTGGAATCTTAGAAATACAACATTCTGATTTAGTTCCAGGTGTAAATATTCACTGGGCATAGCACAGCTGTCCACTCAACCATGCTGCTGCAAGAAGTGATCGTTGCTGCTCTATTGCGCTCTGCTGTATCTGCCCACCCCTCCCACCCATACCGCAGGCTCAGTCAGCTAGGAAGAGCCCCATGCAGATCACCCAGGGAGTGAGCGCTACTAATACTGAACACTTCCCTACTATTCCACACGCTCCCCACGTCACTTTAAATGGTTTAATATTAACCAACATAAGCTTATAATGATACAGATGGTGATGATGATTAAAAAACAAACCTAAATATACAAAATGGTTCTGCACAACCCTTCCTGGGTTACCTATGCTTTTGTTCCTTTCCCACTAGCCCAATAAAGTGAATATTGGGACATCCAGAGGGTATTTTATGATGATATTTCTAGGGAATACTTTCAGAGCTCATGCACAAACCATCCAAGCAAACCTCATTTCCTCTTTAGCATCACATCAAATCTTGCCTGTCCAAATGGCTTTCTTCAGCTAGTTCTGCTAATTAAATTCTTTGCCCAATGTGAAATTTGTCACCCCTGAAAAGGAAGCCCTGAAAATAGCTCCAAAGGTTTCCCAAGGGTGTTTTGTGAGATGCTTTCAGATTAAGGCCATTCATTTTCACATTTAGATTCTTGTCTGCATGCTCAGAAAAGCTGACTGCTTAAGCTGACACCTTGTGAGTCTGCACATAAATGGGGAGTGTGTGTACACATGCATGCAGTTTATGCATTGAACTGAATTCTCACCGAACTCGAAGTTCACAAAATTCACCTTCTAGAAGGCTCAGAGTGAAGTTTTGCTATTGCTTGTGTAGCCATTAAATGGAACTTGCAGGACATCTGCGCTTACTGAATTCCTGTGAGATGTCCACGACGGTGAGCATGAGCCTGTGTGTGTGCATGTGCACACGGGTGTCTGCATCTGTATGCAGACAAAAATGGGGCCAGAGGAGTTGTGCGAGGCCCGTAAACCCATACCCATCCCATTTCTCCTAGGATCATGGACCAGTGTTCCCACTTTGTCAGAATCAAGCTCACAGCCCTATAAATAACTCCAGAATTGGTCTTTACATGATTGTTTTTCTCATGAAAGTTTTTCTCTCCCCTCTGGCCCTCCCCATATCTCCTTCCCATCATTTCCTGCCTCTCAGAGCACCGAAGTGCTGTCTCTCACCATCCTGGAGGCAGCTTTGCTGTGCTGCTTAGGACTATTAACCAGTAGTGGCTGGGGTTGGGAAGCTGTTGGTCAAAAGCCAGGAAAAGCAGATTTAAGACCCAAAGTGGTGCGTGTTTTCCACACTCACTTTGTCATAAGAATCACAAGGAGCTATTATTAAGAACATGAAATCCTGTTTTTCTCTTTAAACCAATGATATCATGGGAAGTGGCACTTCTGCCAAGTGCCCAAATGATTGTTATAATCAGGTGAAGTTTGGGAAACAATGGAGGTGATGTGGCTCCCTGCAAAGTCCCTTCTTAGGCAGGAATAGTTGGATGTGGTATAAAAACCACTTCACTACCCTGAAGTTTAGAACCAATGGTAGAAATTGGGCATGCTGTGAAGCAGGCATTTGTATGTCTTTGGTATGTTCCCACCAAATGCACTCTATTCCTGTCCTTGTCCCACTTTCAGTGCTCTCATGAGATCAGTGTTAAATAGTTAGAAGTCTTTTTTACCAAGAGGGAAGAAGCAATATCCACATTTTACTTCCTCTAAATCCTTCAAAACCCCAAACACTCAATTACATAAGTGTTGGCGATCAAAAGGCCAGTTCCATTGCTCCATGTGTGTTACACCAGGGATCAGCCAGAGTCTCTGCCTGCACCTGACTGCTCTGAAGAAAGGTGTGCATGTGGACACAGTTCTAAGAGAGCCAGGACACTGCCCTGGGCAGTGCCAAGGCCGTACAATTCTGGTAGGGCTCAAGCTTCTAGCTGTTTACTGGATGAAAGAGAAGATGACAGAGGAACCCCATTTGGCTGAACTAGTGCATACTGAGCCGCACAAGTGAAAGCCTTTGCCCTGGGGGCTCCCTCATGTGAATATTTTAACTCTCCCCACTGATAAGGCCAGTTGTGAGAAGCTAAGCAATTGGCCTGCCCATTCTAAGGCCATTCTCCTTTGAAAATGAGAGTGGGAGGGCTAGGAAGATTGGAACTGAGACCTCAGGGGCTGATCAGAAATGTCATTCCTAATGGCAGGCAGTCCCATCTATGGGTTCCCTTTGTATCTGGCTTTGCATACTCTTGAATAAACCTCAGGCCACTAAGGATTTTTCTGCTTGGGAAACACTTAAGTTTCTTGTGGTTCTTTGAAGGATTTTGGGTCTGGGACTTATATGTACTGTGCATAGGGTCCCTGGAAGTCCTACCCCATGATGTACCTTGCTGTTCCAACTGTGCACCTTGTATAGATACCTCACATAGAAGACAGAGGACTGCAGAATCCAGAGTTGGGGAATTGTGATGAGAGAGGCACTGTGGAGCTGTGGGTGTGATGGAACCCCAGGAATCAGACAGATGACCCACTCATAACTGACCAGCAGCAACACATCTATGACAGAGCTATTTGGCTAATCTTTCATCACCCATTTTATACCACAGAGGCAATGAGCCCAGGACAGCAAGAGGCTGGAGATGAGGAGATAGTCAGCAATAAAGAATAATGTTCCATTAATGCTAGAATACAACTATGGTGCATGTTGAGAAAAGGAGGCAGCAAGATACAGTTCTAAGCCCATCCTCACTGTGAACCTCCTCCACCTCAGTGTCATCACTAACTGGTACCATTTCTCCCTGGCATTCAAGCTGCTCATTGCAGCTTTCTCTTTGGTAGGAGGCTGGGGGAAAAGTAAAATCAGGGTTTAGGGTATGGGAGGCATATGGGAGGCGCTTTCAAGGCCCACGACTCCTCATCAAACACATTGGGACAAAGGAAGTTAGACCCAAAGACTTACCAAAGAATGTCTGTCTCTGGGAAGCTGTCTGGATAAAGCGAGCTGGAGGCAGGCCCAACACCTTCAACAAGTACATTGAGGTTAGTTCACTCTTTGCGGAGTCAGAAAGTCAAAGGCTGTTAAGAGCTAGGCAGGATTTTGGTTAAACTCTGCCTTTTACAGTAAAGAGCCCAGGGATATCAAGTAGTGACATCCAGGCAGTGGAAAGCAGACCCAAAGGCTGTGTCTTTCAACCCCTGATCCGAGGCTGTTTCGGAGCCCTAAGACTGAAAGGTGTCATGTTATGTTACGGGCATCAGCACCACGGACAGAGGCCGGGCTCTCTGTCAGAGCACCGGATCACGCTGGATTGAGAACAGCACGTCGCAACGAAGAGCACTAAGGATGGAGGGTGGTAAGGAGACAAAAGTCACCAATGGGCATCAGACCCTTAAAAGACACATTTATTCTTGGAAAGAAAAGTGTAGACCCACCTGATCACTTTTCTAATTGCATTCTGTAGGGGTTCACAGAGATTGAGAAATTACCACTGTCACCTTCAGCCCTTGTGCAAAGCCACAATCCATACCTGACCCCGGGCCCCTGCTCCTCTGCCCGACTTGAAGTCAAGAGGAGGCCACGTCAGGCTTCAGACAGCAGGAAGCCATCCTTCTGGGCTTCAGAGACACCTCAGAAAATCACCCAGTGCCGTGCAGGAAGACAGGACAGAAACTCTAGAGCAGGTTACCAGCTGGGGGCAGCATTTCCCTCACCATAGCTACCACTCCCAGCCATCTTTGTCTAAATGATTTTAACACTCTGTCAGAGTCTGAGTGAACTGTGTATCTATAGTTAGCAGTTCTTATAGTACTCTACCTTTATCTTTGAGACAGTCTAGAAAATAAAAATTTAATATATACACATAAATAGATTGCACAGATAAGGGTCTTTTTTCATAATCAAAATATCTTTGTTTACTAAGAAAACCCTAAAATGTGACATTTCCAACTTTGGGGAAGATTTTTCCTCATTTTGTCTAATTTAGCTCCATAACAAGACTTTTAATTAAAAGAGTAACAGTTAATAACCACATGGTATCTGGGCAAAGCCTTTTCATAGGACGGTCTTCACAGTATAAAGTCAATGAGTTAACACTGGATTTTTTATGTCAGATAATTTCCTATTATTTGCTTTCAACAACACTGTGATCAAGTTGTCAGACGGTAGGAATACTTTCTGGTGTCCTCTCACCATTTGATTGTTAGGACATGAAAGGAGTCACAGAACAAGGCAACAAGGACCAGGCCTCCTCCACCTCCCGGATTCACACCTGTGTAGGTCAGTGTGTTGGAAAGGCACTGATCCTGAGCTTGTTCACCTACAGGAGCAAAAGTCAGCTGAGAAAGACAAAACCCCACTCTTCATTTTAAAGAGATATGTGCTCAATGAAATTTCACATTTTATGACAAATAATTACCCATAGTTGTACACTACCTACCTCTATTTTAATGATCTCAAAAAAAAATCCATACCCATGAAGCTTATAGCAATAGGAAAAATTTAAAGTTATAGTAACTAACAAAAGATTGCAAAATAAAACTATATTAAGTCAGAAAGCAATTCTGTGGAGGAAGTGGAATAGAAAAAAGTTCATTTAAAGAGAAAAAAGAGCAAAGTACAAGGTACAAATTAATCACATAGTTCTTGGATAGATTTTAGGGGGTGTCAATTCTCTGGGAAAAATAGGATTGGTATAAAAAGTTGTGTGGGTTTTTTTGTTTTTGTTTTGTTTTGTTTTGGTACTGGGGATCAAACTCGGGTCCTTGTGCTTGCGAGACAGGTGCGGAACCACTGAGCTAAATCCCCGGCCCACAAGTTCGTTTTAAATTTTATTAATAAGGGAAAATGCCATCCTTTGGAGCTACTTAAATTTATGATAAAACGGTAGTTCTCAATTCAACAATGTATGAATGGTATATCATTTTGGAAATACTTTTAGGGAACACAGAACCCAGGGGGAAAGCGGTGTGCAGAGTCAGCTCCTTTTTCCGGAGCCCTGGCCAGCGGCAGGCCCCTCACCTCCATGATGCAGGCCAGCTGTTCCACCTCGTTCTCCCCGGCAAACAGCGGGCAGCCCGTGTACAGCTCGGCCATGATGCAGCCCAGGCTCCACATGTCAATGGCCATGTTGTAGGGGTGGCCCAGGATCACCTCGGGGGAGCGGTAGAACCGGCTCTGGATGTAGGTGTACGCTGTGGGGGCATAAGGCGAGAGCTGATGCGGGAGAGTTCCCTGCAGAGCACTGTGGAGAGGGCCCCGCAGCCCGGCTGCGGCTGAACAGGGCTCACGATTTACCCCTCTGCCTCCGCCTTCTCAGCCTCCATCTTGGCAGAGAGCCAAATGCTGTCAGGCAGCACTGAGCCCCGCCATTGCGCAGGATCCTCCAGCCCTCACAGCAGCCTGAGCACAGTGCAGACAAGGGACCCCGCTCTGCTCCCAAGGAGCCTCCAGCACGCACTGTTAGTGGGAGATCGACCTAAATCAACCAAATTTAAAAATAAACAAATATGAAACTAATATAAACTCAGTTTTCACAACTGTCCGGTTAGCTTTGGGTAAACAGCTTCTGAAAGTACCATAATTTAGCACATGAGGAGGCATGGCGGATTTGGCTAGAAGACATGCAAAATATGTCATTAAATTAAATGTGTATTCCATACACGGTGATAACATGAGGCACAGAAACAAACCCTCCACAAAATCTCAGCATGACAAAATATAAAAGGCAAAATAGGGAGCCTAGATTTTATGGAGGAGGAGCCAGAAGCCTGAGAAATGCGACGCTTTTGCTATTTCCACATAGCTTTAGTTCCTGGTTACCCGGGGAGGGGGGTCCTGTCATCATTTCTCCGTTGTTTTAATTGCTTACTATAAGGATGTAATTATTCTGTAACTCAGAACAAAGTAAAGACTTGCAGTGAAGACTTTTATACATACTGCTTGTCCCAAAAGTACCAAAGAGGTACTGTGCAAAGTAAAGAGTATTTTAAAACAGAAATGTATGGGCACCCACATAGCATTTAACATGTGGCAGGCATTATTTATTGACAGGGATACTTTCAATCCTTACAATAACCCTGTGGAAAAGGTACTGTTATTGTCTATATTTTAAAGGTGAGGAAACAAAGATATGAAGATTTGAATATTTACATGTTTTAAAATTCTTTACAGTGAAAGACACAGCACCGTTCATCACCTTCAAAATACTCCCCCTTGCTTCAAACAAACGTATCCCACTGTTCTTTGGGAGTTGTCTTTCGTGGCTTTAGTTGCACTGTCCTGGCTGCCTCAATGTCCTGAATGCATTCAAAACATTTACCTTTCACGGTCATTTTGGCTTTGGGGAAGAGCCAGGAGTCACACAGTGCCAGACCCAGTGAGTAAGGGGATGAGGACACACCATAGTATTTTTATTTTATGGAAATTTCCATAAATATTTGATCAATTAGGAATGATCAAAAAATAATGTTCACATTTTTAAAACCATCAATCCTCCTTAAAGTACAGATACCTTGGTTGGAATTCGTTCCGCATTCATGTTCAAATGCTGCAAAGTTTGACAGCTGAACATACTTTTCCCATAAGAAATAATGGAAAACCAAATAATTGGCTCCAGTGTCCAAAAATTACATTTATAAATTTACTTTTCCAGGGCTTTAACAAATTTCACACTGATTTCTTTCTTTAACTCTATTGTGGTTCTCCCAGCTTTTCTCTTAGCTGTACTGCTGGTATCACTAACTTTCTTTGCAGCCATGCTTCTGACACGCTATGCAAATACACTGTAAAAAGCACAGTGAAGACTTGGAAGGTCTGGACACAAGCACTGCGTGCTGTCTGCTGGGAGCTGAGCTTAGGCCACGGCGTCCCCCTCTCGTGTCCACAGCAGGACACGACCTGTTACTCCTCGCCCATACAGGTTCTCTCCGGTTGGATTTTCAGTTTAACTGTTGAGCAAAGGTACAAACACTGAGCAGATTTTTTCTGAGCTTTGCTGTTCGAATACTGGAATGTTCAAGTGGTTTCATAGCCACAGAACATGAGAAGAGTAAACAGCCTTTATAATATGTAAACCCAACTTGCTTGTTTCACAGATGAAGGAACTCGGGCTCAGAATGGTGAAGCATGTTGTTAGAAAACATGCTGGGAATGGTGATGGTGGGGCCCGGGCTGGACCTCTGGTGGCCTTGTGTGCCAAGGAGAGAACTCGGACAGAGGGGCCGGTATGGGGCCTACCTTTCTGGTGTTCATAACAGCTTGATCCAAAGTCAATAACTTTGACAGAGACAGGGCCCTTTTGGTATAGCACTATGTTTTCCTAGAAAGAGAAGACATATGTCACATTTATTAAAATTAATTTTGCCCAGGCTCTCTGCTTCCTCACCCCCTCATTCACTGTAGGGCTATGTGACGTCTGCTCTTCCTCGAAGTCAGAAGTAAACATTTTGTGTGGATTCAGGACACTGAGGCAGCCAGGACTGTACCAGTGGTGGGCACCAGCATCTGCTGCTTTGCAGTGCTTCTTTTACATACATCTTGTCTCTTTGCCACAGCTTGTGTAACTCATGCAGACTGTGGGCTTCTTTGTGTCTTCTTTGACACCTGCTGCTATGCCTTGCTTGCTTAAGGCTTTAAAAAAAAGCCGCTGGCTGAGTTTGTCTGAAGGCCCTGCTGACTTATGGCAGTGACAGTGTGAGAGTAGAGAACCAAATCGAGAAGCAGAAGGCAATGACTTGGTTAGAGGTATGATTCTAATTTGATTTTGGGGAGCCCCCCACACTGGCTGTTTCAGTAGCATCACAGGTGAGAAGGCAGAGCTCCTAGGCTCTTCTCTCAGTATCATGTGCACTGGCTGAGATCAGAGAATTAATCCTGATTGTTCTAGAACTTCAGGCCATATGAGTTGATCACCAATGCTCACCAAGTCCCTAACACTACATGTGGGACACAGCAGATCTGGTCGGAAGCCTCAAGACCACACACTGGGAAAGTGCAAATGTCACCCAGGTGCCTTGGCTAAAGAACATTAAGGCAGGAGGCTGCTCAGTAGGAATCTAGCACCTTTCCCCAACAGCAAGGCTCCTCCAGCAGATGGGGTCCCTCTGTTAGGGTAGCAGGGCACCTGGGGGTGTGCTGAAGGGGAAGGGGGGCCCAGCCCTAACCTCTGACTCTCTTGCCTCTCATTTGCCACAAGGGAGCAGCATTTCCCCACTACAATGCACAGCCTGATCACAGGAGCAAAACCAAAAGGCCAGAGACCTTTCCTCCTAAACCGCTTGCCTCTGGGATTTTGTCACAGGGGCAGGAAGCTGATGAACACTCTCCCATCCTCCACCCTATTGGCAGAAAGAGCTCTACAGAAGGAGGGGACGCCATGGCCAGGCCAAGCTTGTCCCTACCATGAAGTCCCCAAGAAGAGCTCCCTGATGCTGGAATCCGTGCTTCTGGTGGGATGTGTCACGGGGACACACGTACTTGGTCTACTCGATGTATTTCTCAGCCCTGAAGCCCACACTCATGGCTGTGATAATCCTCCAGAGCTGCAGACCCAAGGCTGGGCATGCAGGCATGTGGGTGTGGAGGACACATGGATGCAGCCTACCTGCCCCATGAGGGTCCAGACGGCCGCGAGAGAAATCAGTGCAAGTATCTTGCCAATCTTTAACTACAAAAGCATCCCAAATTTTACTCTGTGAGCTACAATTTTCACAAAAACACATTTTTTAAAGAATAAGTTTTGGGAGTGGAGAGATGGATGCAAGGGAAAGTTAAGGATGGTGACAGAGCCGTGAGTGTTGGGTTGTTTTGGAGCCAGCTCTTTTACCATGCCACCAGCTACCTTTTTGTGTGACTTCCTCACATGTGCCACGGTAGGCTGGGGACCAGTGGGGAAAAGATAGGACTCCCAACCTTGGGGGACTTGTAGCTCAGCGGAGAACACAGGAAAAGAAGCAAGTCCTGTACACAACAGGAAGTGCAGCAAATAGGGCCGTGTAGGAAGATGCTAGCAGGACCCGAGAGAAGGCCACACCCCCAGAGTACAGGAAGTAGAGTGGAAAGTCTGCAGTGGGAATCCATAGCAACATCTGCCCCCGGGCCTGCAGAGCAGACAGGGGAGAGCTCCAAGCCCTGGGAGAGCTCTTCAGGCTACAAATCAAAACAGGCTGCCAGCAGCATCTCCCGCTGCGCACTTGCCCACGGCTGTGCCTCCTACAGGAAGCCCAGCCTGGCCTTTTCCCAGCTGCTTCAGTTATGCCGCATCTCTTCTGCCTCCCTTAGACCTCCCCACACTCTCACAACCTGAGAACAGGACTGCTCAGCTCCCACCCTGGCCACACTGGCTGTCCTGGGCCCTGAGGGCCTGGAAAGCATCTGCCTCCTAGGCAGGACAGAGGGGTACTCACAGGCTTGAGATCACAGTGAATGATCTTCTCTACGTAAAGCATCTGCAGGCACTTCAAAACACAGAGGGTGAAGCGACGGACTAGCGACAGACTGAAACCTTGAAAGCTGTTATTCTTCATCAACTGGTACAAATTGATTCTGGGAAGAACAGAGAAGAAGTGACGCACGTTGGTGTAAAGATATGCTCAGCATGACCTGCACACAATCCCACGCCATCTGTGGGTAAGCCTCAGACCCGGAGGCCATGCTCTGTGTATTATGAACTTGGCCCTCTCACTGACTCATGGTAGCCCAGGATAAAGTCCAACCGTGACAGCCTTTCAGGCAATCCCTGGACCAACCTTCTGCACTAGTCCTATTTCTTCAGGACTATTGGGAGGGGCCAGGAAGCCTCCTAGTCACTTAATCAAGCAGCCACTCCAGGGAAGACCTAGTAAGGCTAAAGACTTCTGGCCCTGGTAAGTAAGAGAACCAGAAAGTTGGCAGGTGGGAGCCAAGGCAAGGTAGGGAGCCCCTACTCTATCAGAGGGGTATGCAGTCACTCAGTCCCCTCTATCTGTGACCTTGCAGGAATGAAGGCCAGTTCTTGCCACACAGTCCTTAATTCTCTACGGTGGCAGAAGCCTATAATATTACACAAAACAGAAGCTTGCTCTGTTATATGAAGCCTGCGGCCTTATGGATGTTGGAAACTAAAACCTTTGTGAAACCGCGAGCAGGGAGAGGAGGGCAGCAGCCTCTGGCTGTGACTCCTAACCACCCTCTCCAAGATGACCAAATTCTAGCATGTTTAGGAAGCCGTTCACTGTTGAGAGCTGGGATGGAGACTGAGACCCGGCCTTGGCTCCATCCTCACCTGTGACCCTGGGCAACTCTCCAACTCTGTGAGCTTAGGATTCTCCCTCCACACACCACCTCACCGAGCGTTTTTAAGTACACTGATGTCCTAGCTGGGCACAGTCATTAATGGCCCAAAAAGGCAGCCGGGATGTTTGTTTTGCAGACTAGAAAATGATTCACCTCTGCATCCTGGACGGAGGCCACATTTTGTGATCTCCAGAGATGGTGAGGAGCACGCCCGCCCTCCTCCCGTCCCAGTCCTGCTTCACCCTCACTGATGGTGCTGTCAGCTCAGAGCATCCAGACACCCTGATTGTTTTCCTCTGATAAGGTAAATGCACCCTGGCTTCTGATTTTATTTAAGATGTACCGGACCATCTCAGACAGAAAGTAATCAAGTGTGTCCGTCCTTCCACATTAGCATGACTTTTCCATTCCAATCTTCAGCAAGGCAACACCAGTCTATTTGTTAGGATTTGGCCCTTTAATAAAAATGTCTGTTTTTGTCTTTCTTTACTCAAAATTAAAGTTCCTTTCCCACTGTCCTTTGGGCAGCAGCCTCTGTACCTGTGTATAGGGAACATGGCTCAAAGCGAAGCCCACTACCACATCTCAGTTTAGCTGCAGGAACTCAGCGCCAGGCAGGCACAGCTGAGTGAACTGGTGGGCAATGGGCTTTCTGAGGGGTGGGGTGAGGAGGCAGCTTCCAGTCCCAGCCTTCCTGCTCCTGGAGCTTCCCAATAACTGGGTGGCTGCTCCACCCGCTCTCATCATTAAATATTGTCATCCCCAAAAAGGTAAAGTTCGACCTCAAAGTTTCTCTTCTGTCATTTAAGCAACTTTTCAAGCACAGCGAATGAAAACGTAAAAGCAGCTGACCCCAGGAGCTCGAAGGTGATGCAGAGATGATTGCGGAAGTGGAAAAAGTCCTTCATGTGTACCACATTGTAGGAGTTGTCTTTGTCCTTCCTTCTGAGGGCTTCCAGGATCTTCAACTCCACCAGGGCCTGGTGGTGAAATCTGCAAAGACGGGGCATGGTGGGGGCCGGGAGGACACACTGTTCTGTGGCAGTTGGCAGTTTCCTCACTCAGTCCAATCCCACTCCCTCTACAAGACTGTCTAGGGTGGCAGAAAGCACTAAAACTTCACGACCTTGCTTCCTCTTTGCCCTTTCATGGAGTAAAACAGGCAGAGAGAGTAAGAGGAAACAAAGAGGAAGAGTCGGAGAGGGTTGGCATCCTGAAGTGGTTAGAGCAAGGCCCTCCCTCCACCATGGCCTTGTCTCCTCTCGAGCCAAACCTTTTTTTGTTCCTGATGATTTTCAGGGCCACCAACTCATTGTTTTTGTGATCCAAGCATTTGGCCACCTGTCCAAAGGACCCTTTCCCAATCATCTCCAGAACTTCATAGCGGTAGGCAATGTGGTCATGCAGGACCTGCAGAAGCCAGGCTGGTGGTGAGAAGAAGAGTCTGAGGCTCTTGGGACCCCGGGATCCCCAGCCTCAGATCCTGACTCATTCCTGAGGAGACTTTCCTGAACTCAGACCCCATCTCACTGGTACTGGTTAGGCCACCAGGTGGCGCCAGGGAGCCAGG